GAGGCACCTAAAAGGCATCTTCATTTGCATTGCAGCAGCAGTGATTTTCATCTTTTTCTATCTCAATTCCAACAAAGTGGTTAGGAACATTCCTTATCAACCAGCATCAGCAGAGCCACATTGGGAGGATCCAGGACCATATCATGTGGCCTACCCACGAAACTACAAATTCATCATGGATGACATGCCTACATGTAGGACCACAACTCCTTTCCTTATTCTGATGGTTCCTGTTGCACCCGGTAATGTGGCAACTCGGGATGCCATCCGGCAGACGTGGGGAAATGAGAAGCTGGTTCTGGGTCAGCAGGTAGAGACTGTCTTCATAGTGGGCCTCCCTGGTGGAAGTGATGCTAAACATCAGCAAGAGAAGCTTCAGCAGGAGAATCAGCTGTACCATGACCTGATTCAGAGCAACTTTCAGGACAGCTACTATAATCTGACTATCAAGACTATGGTCATGCTGGAGTGGCTGGCTGCACACTGTACAAAGGCTTCCTTTGTCATGAAGATCGACTCCGATGTTATACTCAATGTCCCGAATCTGGTGAAACTGTTGGTGGATCCTAGCACAGCTAAGCAAAACTATATGACTGGGCTGGTTTGGTGGCATAGTCCTGTTTTAAGGAACCCATTTATAAAGTTCTACATGCCTCGATCTGTGATTGCTGAATCAGAGTACCCCCCGTATCCGCTCGGCTTTGCCTACGTCATGTCACTAGACCTTCCTGGGAAGATCTTGGGAGTGTCACCTCAGATCAAACCGATCTACATTGAAGATGCTTACCTCGGCATGTGTCTGAAACGCCTGGGCGTATCTCCTACTGACCCTCCAGAAGAAACAATGTTTCTTGTCAATCCCAGCCATTCTCTGAGCAGCTGCAGTCTTTCAAAGCTGATCGCTTCGACAACAACAAGCATCTTGCAAATGAATGGCTACTGGGAGAGGATCAAACGGGGAGTTCAGTGCTGAAGGTTTTCCAAAAAGAGTGAGAACCTGAATTTGGCTAATGGATAAAACAAAAATGAAATATTGCGTATTTATTATGTGGCAAAATGGAGATACTTTTGTTACATCTTGCCAAATCTGATGATTAGGCCAAGTTAACAGAATTATTTTTCTCTAAAAAAAAAAAGAAATAATAATAATAATTACAAGTTAGAACTTTGTGTTTGGTGATATTGAAATATTGCTAAATTGGCAAGAGATGAAATGATACTGTTCTCAACTTTTTATTGGAATCAATCAGGCCTTCTTTGTCCTCAGCTCAAGTAAGAGATGTTTAATTTACTTTTATGTCCTCTTGTATTTACCTTCTCCACCTCTTTTGTGTTTCTGTACTTTTTACCCTCCGGCCTGTGTTCGTCTTTATATTTGTTGTTATGGTATGGTTTGATACTTGCTGTAGAACTTCCAACTGACGAGATGATAAGATGACATTACTGTGCAGTTGCTTTAACAATAGCTAAACATCCAAATGACCACAATCCATAATTGTTAATGAAGTGTACTGTTTTGCTATGGTATTTTGTTATGATGTAGTCGACTACTTAAGTATATTGTAATAGCCCTGCGCTGTTTTGATGTTTGTTTTAATGTGTATATTTACTATAGATTGTGCATGTTGTTGATTCTTTTTTTTCTTTTCATTTGTTTGCTTGTTTTTTTTTGTTTGTTTGCATTGTAAACCAGCTTAGGATATAAAAGCTGTGGTGTTTTTCTTAGAGACAAGTTTTTTACATGAACTATGTCAAACTAAACTGATCTAAACTAAACTATGGGGCATGTATGATCCTGATGTGATGCAATATACGAAATGTACCATGACTGTGAAGAAAAAAAATTGGCCAGTACTGTGAATTCTACAGTTGTAGTTTGTCATAGTTCCACAAGATGGACGACTTTGATTCTATAAAATTTAAGCCACAAGTATGTTTAACGTGCTGCATATTTTTTAACCTCACTGCTTTAAATGTATGATCTAAGCTTCCTTCAAAACACAAAATACTAAAATATTATATTTAAAAACAAAACAAAACAACAACCTCATGTAATACCTTCCAATAACAATCAGTCGCTGATAGGATTGGTGTGCTGGGCCGGGCGGACTGCTTGTCTAAACCCCAGAGTGAAGGAGAACATCTCCTGTGTCTGGGTGCTAATTGCCCCTATGGGGGTGTTGGTGCTTGACCTGGGAGTATAGAGTGTTTATGGGTAGTGTGAGTGTACAGTATTCATTTCTGCATGTCTTGATGTTGGGTGTGTGAGGAAGGGGAATGCATGTGTGTGGCTGTTTGTCTATGTCTGTGTCAGGTCTGGTCTTACACTCCACCTCTCTTAGAACATCTCAGGCTCCCCCAGGAGCTAAAAGCACAGGGTTGTCCCTGCGGTGGTCCTCCTGGAGCTTTCATGGTGTGGTGGGCTTCTCCATGCCTTCTTCAGGTGTTGGTGGGCGGGACTGTGGCTCCCCACATACACTGTTAGACAGTTACAGTGGGAAACCTTATGAACACAAGCACACTCCTGCATGGCAAGACATGTTCACACAGATGTACAAGCAGGTACTCACAGACACATGTCATCTTGGGCTGCTGCTGCCTCTAAAAATATCTTTTATTATTAGTACTGTGTTCAGTAACAACATCACTGTTATTTATGTTGGTAGTTGCTCTGGTTTCTCTGCTCCCCCCCCTGCCTCTTCTCAACAACTGGCATTTTTTCTCTCTCTCTCCCTCTCTGTTAACTTTCTCCCCAACTTAACATTTTTTTTCTTTTTGTCTTTTCCCGTCCAGGTCTCTTTACTATTATACCATAGAGGATGGTATCAAAGGCTTTAGTTAAGACTGAGAAATAAAAATTGCATTCACATTTGCAGTTTTGTCTTCAAAAACTGCAGCATAAAAGTAGCTGGAAACATGCAACAGAAATTGGCAGTACTAAAGAGGCTGAACACAATAGCTGTGGGCTGTGTTCACCTGGATTGTACCTACATCATTAAGGAGGTGCATATCAAGTTGTTCTATAGGTTATAGCGCAGGATTTCAGAGGAGTGTTGATATGAGGCAGATTTCCCACTGAAGCATAAATCTTCAGTATCAGTGAGCTTAGAGATTTTCAGCTCTAACTCAAATGTTGTGAAGCTGTGCACTTTGTTAACAATGGCAAAGAAAGGTGATATAACTCACCACTTTTATCTTTCTTGTCTTTTTAGGGAACTTGTCCAGAGCACCTTTCCACAGAAGAAGATCTTATTTCATTCCTGGTTTCAGCTCCTGCTTCTATTTTGTGTTTTGGCCTTAGGCTTGTGTTACACCCTGTCCAGCCGCTCGCTGTCACTATGGCAGAGCTTCCCACTGCAGGAACAATACCAGTGGTTTTTAAACCAGAACAGTAGGGTTAATGCACCTGCTTACCGCATTCACCCCAAAAACAAAGTTATATTAAACAAAACCACTGAACCTTCGACTGTGCGATCTACCTCCCTCCAGTACCACCAAGCCTATCCACGCAACTACCATTTTCTTATGGATAACACAGAGGTTTGCAAGAACAAGATCCCATTCCTGGTTCTCATGGTTCCAGTGCAACCAAAAAATGTGGCAGCTCGGGACGCGATCCGCCAGACATGGGGCAAAGAAAACATAGTTCAGGGTGAGGTGGTACTCACTTTATTTATGTTGGGTGTCTCTAGAGAAGATGATGTTGAGAAGCTCAAACAGGAAAATTTGCAGCACCATGACCTGATCCAGAGTGACTTCACAGACAGTTATCTAAACCTAACAATCAAAACCATGGTGATCATGGACTGGCTAAGTACACACTGCCCTGCAGCAGCCTATGCCATGAAGATTGACTCTGACATGTTTCTGAATGTTGACAATCTAGTAATCATGCTAAAACAGCCGGGCATCCCCAAGACAAACTACCTGACAGGGATGCTTATGTGGAACAGACCAGTCATTCGTTCCAAGAACTCCAAGTGGTATGTGCCTGAGGAATTGTATCCAGAGCCTGAATACCCGACCTACACACTGGGTATGGGATATGTCTTTTCTAATCATCTTCCAGAGAAATATGTGGAAATTTATTTATTTGTATATTTTAAATGTGATTTAGGGTTACTGGGTTGTAAAGATGAAAGTGAGCTACTGCATTACATTTAAGGTTTTATCAAGAGCAATATGCAGGGAATTTACATTTGCATTGACCAATGGTACCTGGCTCCTCAGTTTCCTGTGGGACATTTTAATACTTGAAACATAAACTACTTGAAGGTATCCCAGGCAAGGTTTAATAAAAACTCTACAACTGATGCTTGTGTTTCAGCCATTTTGGCAGGGTTGACGGACGGGGTGGAGTTGTTTGTACAGCACAAGTTACCACATTACCTGGGGCTATCACCGTTGCCTGTGTGTTTGGTTTCCAGATACCATTAGGGTGCACTTAGGGGTGTGGTTATAATGTAGGCTAGAGGCACAACCTCACAAGCACACACAAAAAAGGGGTGAGAGGGGAGAAACAAACAGACAAATCCACTACAACTACTGATGCATTAGTGAAAGAATTCAGCACTTCACTTACTTCTTAAGGGTATGCGGAGCATTTTGAGAAAAAAAACTTGAAGTTACTTAAATGTGTTTAGAAATAATACAGCTGGGGTTAAGCTTTAAAGTGACTTCTAGTGAAAGGTGTGAATATTTTAAAAGATTATAAGGTTCATTTTACATATTAAATTATATTTAAATTAAATGGACTGTATAGGCAGCACGTTGGCACGGTGGTTAGCACTGTTGCCGCACAGCAAGACGGTCCTGAGTTCAATTCCACCATCAGGCCGGGGTCTTTCTGTGTGGAGTTTGCATGTTCTCCCCGTGTTTGCGTGGGTTCCCTCCGGGTACTCCGGCTTCCTCCCACCATCCAAAGACATGCAGCTTGTGGGGATAGGTTAATTGGATAATCCAAATTGTCACTAGGTGTGAATGTGAGTGTGAATGGTTGTCTGTCCCTGTGTGTTGGCCCTGCGACAGACTGGCAACCTGTCCAGGGTGTACCCCGCCTCTCGCCCTATGACAGCTGGGATAGGCTCCAGCGCCCCCCGCGACCCTGAAAAGGATAAGCGGAAGCGAATGGATGGATAAATGGACTGTTCTTATTCATTTGAATGTAATTAATATGTTTTTCCAAAACCTGAACGTTTGTGAGGAGTGTCATTCACATACTAGAGTCTATGATAATACCACAGTAGAGCACTGTCTTGTTTTTTTTTCTATCAGTGGGAAATCTGGGATCCTTAAAAGTCCTTAGAAGACAATTCAATGTGCTGAGCACTTTCAATGCTTTTAGACTATTCCTTTGTTTTAACTGTCTCATTGCATACATCTGTTAACTTCCTCTTGTGTCTTAGTCCGTCCCACCTGAAATAAGAGACACTGGCAGTAAAGAGTCATTAAGTCAAGGTTCACTGTATATCTTAAAGAAAAATGCACCTTAGTACGAGGGTTCTGATCTCAAAGATGGACAGCATTTAAAGGTTAAAATGGACTTGAAGACTGTAATTGATTCACGCTCTCTAATTACACAAACAGACTGCCAGAAACAGACTGCTTCCACCATGTATGTAGTACTTTATTTAGTATGCTGTAGTAATGAGGGATACACTTAGTGGAAATGACATTTACAATGGTTGACTGGTTATTTGCAACATGTAATGCCTCCGATTATTCAAAAAAAAAAAGGCAAAAACTAAGACTAAACACATGCCTATTTACATTTAACAAGATGTAGAATATCAAGTTTTATTCAAGGTCTGAAGTGTTGGGTTTGATGACGCTTGTACATCTTTGCCCACTGTGTAGTCTCATAGCTTTACTGGGCCATGATGGCGATCTTACATTATATAGTTGCAGGCAGATAAAAGAATTGATTTGTTGTTAAAGATAAAGAAAATGTTCTGCATGTAAAGAAAAGCATCTCACTCTCAGTTTGACATTTGTAGACTAATGTGGGCAAAATCTAAATGAAATTTTTTAATGTCATTTTTTTTTGCCTGTCTTGTCTGGCAGCTTCTTTGATTTTCGTTAACTGGGACTATAAAAACTCTGCCATCCATGGATGTTACTTTGACATGTACCACCTACCTAAGCATTGTTGCAGACTATTTACACTCTTTAATGCAAAAAGTATTCTGTGATGACCGTGACCTCTTTCAGCAGGATAATGCCAAAAAGGAAAAACGGTATGGTTTGAAGGGAAAAACAAGTTGGAGGTGTTAACTTTGCTTTAATCAAACGCACGACTGTGAATTTGGCCAGTGAGTTTTCCTGTTTTAAGTATGTGGATTTTTTTTGTTTTCTTGTTTGTTTGTTTTTGTTTGTTTTTTAAAAAAACAAACGCGGATGCGCGGATGTCATTTGCTTCCAACGTCAGAAACGGTTATTAGTTTTACACTGACGTTTCCTTGTAGCTCAGAAAACCAGTATTTCAACTACCTGTCAGGTGGGCCACTTACTGCCCACGTCACCCCTACTTGCGACCCGTATATCGACGTGAAGAAATATAATACAATTTGGCACTTGAAGCTACTTTTCTTTTGTTTCTGGGTGTTGAGTGTTTTTTCGGGTTTTTTTGTTGCTGTTTGTTGTACTGGTGCCAGCAGTAGCACAGAGCTCATTAAAGTTTGAGAATTCCAGAGTAAGTAAGGAAGTGACTTGACTGGGCGGTGCTCAGACTCAGGGCGTGGAGTTTACCTGTTTGATCTCCCTGTGGTTACACGTTGTAGGAACTCTCTGAAGTTTATCTGAATTCAAATGAAAAGAGAAATAGAAGAGCGCTTTTCACAAACAAGCGAATGGAAATCAAGGAACAACACAACCTACGTCAGTTTGTATTCCCGTGCTGAATAAACTCTCCATGCACGCTTTACTTTGTGCTCCGATTTAATGCCGAATGCAGGGGACAAAAACAGGTGAGCGCTGATCGCTGTTAATGGGACAAAGCATAACCGGATTCTGAAATAAAGAAAAGCTCTTCTCTTTAAGACGTAGTCCACTGACATGCTCCGAGGAAGCTCACAAAAAGCGGAAATAGTCGCTAAAAACGTACATTTATGGTGTTTATAATTTTTCTTTAATCTTCTTTATTTTATTTTCCCGTTCGGTCAGTGAACAGACAGGATGGCTTCACAAACAGTAAAAGCCGTGCAATTATTTTTTATTGTAATTTATTTTTTAAATTTATTTATTTATTTACTTATTTATTTATTTATTTCCGTGCAAATCTAAAGGTCAACTACAGGTCGCTGGACGCAGATGACCCAAAAGCAGGTTAAATGCTGATTGGCTGCTAAGAGGTCCGGTTGTGCCAAGGTAGGTATCCCCGACATAATTTGTTCCCCCTGAGTCGGGAGCACGCGCTGGGCTGTCCAAGTCACAGATATCCCACGTACTTGATTTTTAATTCAAACACGCTTGTTATAAGGACTTTTTACTCCTTTGAAGATGTTAGCTCTTTATACATTAAGATCACAGTGGGATAAACTTTCCCACATACTTTATTAT